ATGTATCAACTTTGGGTCAGACATTAACTAGAAAAGGTGATGTATTTTTACAAGGTAAAACTAAATATGAGTTTTTAGAATCTAAGAATAAAAATTGGAATGCTAAAAAACAGAAAATTACTAATGTGGAAAAGGGTGAAAGTTTAGATGATGTGCCCACTTTACAACAGACTTTAATACGAACAGATGGTAAATTTGTACAAGACAATAAAAATTATGAATTTTTAGAATCAGAGAATGGTGTTTGGAATGCTAAGAAACGGAAAATTACTAATGTAGAAAAGGGTGAAAGTTTAAATGATGTGCCCACTTTACAACAGACTTTAATACGAAAAGAAGATGGTAAATTTGTTCAAGATGATAATAATTATGAATTTTTAGAATCAGAGAATGGTGTTTGGAATGCTAAGAAACAGAAACTTAGCAATTTGATAGAAGGTACAGATAGTAAGGATGCTGTGAATGTTTCACAAGTTCCAAAAATGGAAGCAGGCTATTGGGATTTTAATAATAAAAGGTTAGTATGTGTTAAACCTGCCATTGATGACACTGACTGTGTTACAAAAGAACAGACTATAACTTTTGATAAAAAAGAAAAATGTTGGGATGCCAAAAAACAATTTATAAGGAATCTGCCAAAGGGGGAATATTTAGATGATATTTGTTTAATGTCACAAGCTATGTATTATGATGGATCAAAATTTGTATATGCAGGAAGAAAATTTAATTTGATGGAATACAATCCTGATTTATTAGTTGCCGACCCTACATCTTTGAGCGGATTTAAGTATATAGATAATAGACCATATATACCAGAAAACTATGTATTTAAAAGAATGGAAGATAATCTATTGATTGGGGCTAATGGTAATATATTTACAGTACAAGGAAAGAGTGATGTTATAAAAAATGAATGAAATTGCATACGAACTTCATAAGCCTGCAAGAAAGAATTTCATTAGAAGGTCTTTTAAAGTATTAGGTATAAACGAAACTGTACAAATAGATTTAATTGATATGCAAAACTATGCTAGAGAGAATTCTGGCAATAAATATATTTTAACTTTAATAGATACATTTTCTAAAAAAGCTTATGCTGCTCCACTAAAGAATAAGACAGGGTTGGTGGTTACAGAAGCCATTAAAACCATTCTACCAAAGGGGGTTAAAAACATTCAATCTGACAATGGAAAAGAATTTTTTAATCAATATTTTAGCAAACTAATGAAAAAATTAAATATTAATCACTATCACACGTTTTCTACAACTAAGGCTGCAATTGTGGAGAGGTTTCAGAGAACTTTAAAGAATTGGTTATATAGGGAATTTAGTGCTCAGGGAAGTTATAAATGGTTGGATTTACTTCCAAAGTTAATTCGAAAATATAATAATAAGGTGCATAGATCCATAGGAATGAAGCCTAAACAAGTGAATATTAAGAACAGTAAATATGTGCATGAGAGGTTGACTTCTAAAGTAGTGCAAGTTAAAAAGCCAAGATATAAGGTGGGTGATAGTGTGAGGATTTCCAAGTATAAACATGTTTTTAGTAAAGGATATACTCCGAATTGGACAGGGGAGCTATTTACAATAGCAGAAGTAAAGAATACAAAGCCTGTGACTTATATCTTGAAAGATGAAAATGGTAATATAATCAGGGGAGGCTTCTATACAGAGGAATTGTTAAAGACCAAATATAAAGACATGTATTTGATAGAAAAGGTTATTAGGAGAAAAGGTGATTTATTATATGTCAAATGGCTTGGGTTCCCAAGTAGCCAGAATTCATGGATTTCCACTAAGGATGTCCAAGGGAGCACGCCGTGAGCCGGGAGCGCGCACGAGTTCGCGTACAAACCTCGCACTGTCAAGTTGATGATTTTGAGAATATACCTGTGAATGGATGTGGATTTGAAATAGTAATGAAGTTATACAATGGTATTGATCATTTATATAGGCTTGTATTGGTCGAGAGCTGGATTTTTAAAAAAGTGGTCAAAAAAAGCTCACCATTTCCAGACGTGTTTTTCAGTATTAAAAAAGTAAAAAATTTATATATGGGTGTATAGGTCGAGAGCTGGGTCCTTAAGAAAAGTGGCCAAAAAAAGCTCCTGGGGCTTCGGACATTTTTTTCGCCAAAAATTTTAAAAGTTCTGGGCCAAAAAATGCCGGAAGTGAGGTCATATTGTGGGTTCGCCACTACTCTACATTTACACTTGTAAGGGTCAATAAATGTAAGAAATAGCTTTTTTAGCTTAATATCAAATATATTTATGGGGAATAAGTAAGAAATAAGGTTTGACAATTATATAGGGATATTTAAACAAAGATCAGGATTTTTGGTTTTAGTGGCCAAAAAATGATCCCATGTTATTTCTTATGGGAAAACGTGCCCCAAGTGACTTTAAACCGGTAGTTCGCCACTACTTAGTCATAATGTTTTGCATTTATTTGAATGAATAGTTTATCATCGAAGTTCATTAAATGTTTCAGACACCATACCAAACAAAGATTTTTTAAACCATTTTGCGCACTGCCAATTGTTTAAAATGTCAGTATCAAATTGAATTAATTATCAGAATACAAGAGGTATTTATTTTGTATTTGTATTTGATTTTTTCTTAACAAGAACTACAATACAATAAGAGGAAGGCCTTGCATTATATTACGCAGGTAGCCGATGTATGACTGTACCTTACATATCGACTGTCATTATGTAAGATCTTATAACGGTATTTTCCTACTATTCCATATCAAGTTCGTCGACAAAACACGTTTGGATAATATAAGTTGTTAAAAATATTATTATTTAATATTTTCCTTTTTTTATCGTGTTTATATTAAATATTCGCGAACATTACGGTGAATGTTTTTTTATATATATGGTTATTGTTTTAAGTGAATTTAAAATTGAAACTGATCTGGAACTGATATAATTTGTAAAACATATAAAAACTAAAACGGCACCTATTTCATATTGTTATAAAAATAACTCTCTATTATGTTGTGAAATACATATGATACGACATACCGTTAAAAGATTTAAAGGTTCCACATAAACCATCTACTTTTCACACATACAATGCTTTATGTGTTTGTTTATTTTTCTCGAAAAAAAAATTCTTTAGACATTATTTTTTATAACGATTTTAAATATAATGTTTTAGAGTCGCAATGCAATTTAATCCTACTAGATGGGTTTTAACGTTTTTTGATATGTTAATAATTACGTTAACGTTTATACATGTATCATGTCAAACATGTCAGGAAAGTATTAATTAGCTGGAAATACTGCTTTGAAAACTACTATTTTAATCACCACTAGGCAAACCCTTTTAAACATAATTACTTGTAACAGTTCGTAATCTCAAAGTGCTGTGACTGTAAAAGAACGTGTGTAGCAACATAACGTCTACCTATTTAAAGTAGGCAGAGTTGTTAAAAATAGTTTATGACCAATTTAGTATAATATATGGAATTTATCATAAACAAACATATATATTTCATATTTTACCCCAAAATTTAATGGAACACATTTACAATCGTTTTAAAAGTTATCATAAAATATGGGGCCATTTAAACTGTGTCCCCTAACAGTTAAACTTGTTGCAAACGTTTGCGGAGTACCGGTATGGTGAAATATAACATACAGAATAAAACTTGTATGTTTTCAATAGATTGTTAGTATAGGTTATTTCTCATTGTTTTCATAGATCGTTTATATAGAATGTTTATAGTTCATTTTAACGATAGTTTATTAATAATAATAACAAGAGTTGTTTTGAAAAGCAAAATTTAGTTTCTGAAAACCCTTGCTCAATAAAGAATTTTTTTATTTATGTATTATATCTTCCATTAAAAACAACAAATGTATTCTCAACTACTTTTTTCAAGCAAAAGGTCCACGTTGACAATATCCTCATCCAATTTTAACCTTTTAAATACATGTTCAATTTCGCAATATTGGTATTAGAATGAAATATTATACTTTTACTTGTGATTGCTTTAGGCCTACTCTTGAAGGAGGATAAAATACAATTTAATTTCAACAAACTGACAACGCTTTTAGTGACTGATGGACAGCAAAGTGCGCGATTTCGCGTCGCCTTCGTTGTCATCAACCTAACGTCCTTGGGTTTCAAAATTTCTTCTTGTTATACTGGCAATTAGTACAGGAAGTGCGAAAGTAAGTAATACCGAGCGATTAAATGCGATCAGGGTCGACTCAAGGCCGCTCGACCTCCAAACTGCCTTATATCTGGATTTAATGTTTTTATTACTCCACGAAACGGGATTTTAGAAACTCGTTTTATGCAAAAACGAAAAGATTTTCCTCTTGTAGATAAAAACCGTGGAGTCTCTGATAACAAAATTACTCAAACGTTAGATTTTATTGTTTATTAGAAACGCCGTATTCTGTTTTTAAGAGACGTTAACGGGTGGTTTGAAGTGTGACTTGAGAGTCTGCTATGCCGTAGCAGCGTCGGTTTCCTGTCACAAGCGAAATACCTATAAAATCTTGTTACTTTTGGGAATACAATGAATTTGAACAAATCTCTTTTTAATTGCATTAATTTAAACACTTTATATACAAATTTCTTGTGGATGTGGAATGATAAAACTCCTATAAAAATACACACAGTATTTAAACTTGAGTTTTGTATTTAGTGATGAGTTTTAATTACGTTAAACGTGCATCTCCATAAATTCCACAGATTATATATTTAATTTACGTTTTCCTGTGTTTGAGACAGTATATGTGTTACAACATAAAAATCGGGGATATTATGTGTCTAGACCTGTAAGTTGGTAAACTTCACGTTATAATTGAGAACATTTTCAAAGATGAAGCGCATTAAAGTGGCATTTATATTATAAAATTAACAATGAAATCAGCTGACGATCGCGGATGATGAGCAGCTGAGACGCGCACAGTAAGCACAGCTGACGTGTGACGTGTAGCGGGGGTGGTCGACTCATGATAAGATATTATCACTTACATCAGTGAGGATCTCCGAGGCCATAGTTGTAGGGATACTCCACTCCACCGGGTCACACAATCAACACATGGTAGCGAACTGAACTGAACTGGACCGCCAGCTAGCCTACTTTCGCGCAGACTTGCCACCCCTCCACCGGTCAATAAAACTTACCTATACCTGTGATGTGATCGGATCTCCAATAGCGCCACGACGTTCGCGCACACTCCCCTAGACTCCGCCCCGAGGCCAGTGAATCTACCTTATCAAATATGTTGTCGGTTTCTCAATAAAACATTCCGCGAGAGTGATGATGTGCGGCTTACATCTGCATTTACAATTCACTCTATTGTAGTTTAGATTGGACGGTCATGTCTTGTTCAATGTTTTTACTAAATTAAAAAGATCGATTTATATTTTTTAAATCTATAATAGTTATATGGCGATAATTATAATATCGTATGTTTCAACTAAAATCAAACACATTTTTGCTGTTATTTTGAAATGGTTATTTTATATGGATCAATCATTCTCGATTTGGATTTCGTCAATCGTTCGTCCCACATAATATTATCTATTTATGATTAGCCCAGGGCATTAAGTCTTTCCATTTATCCGATTGTCAAGATGGCGTCGAGCAGTGCGTTTTGCTGTAAAAGTTGGACAACCAAACACAATATTTTGTGTGTGTAGAGAACAAAGTTTAAAAATTGATTTAGGACAGCCTTAACAATTTATTTATCTGCAGCAGTATGTATGTTATTGATATTTGACTTAACACTGACATTTTCATTAAAATTCACCCCATCTCAAGCATTTTATTTTATTTTCAGTGATCAAATATGTACTTTGTATAACGTATCTTGGTCGTATTGTTGAAATAATCTGAATCAACTTAACAGAAATGAACGTATAAAAATCCAACAAAACATGAATGTGAGAATGATTATTGTCTTTTAAAACACAAATCAGAGAGTTCGCATATATTAATTATTGAATGGATAAATGAAAATTGGTTTTAAAAAAATGGCAACCTTCAAAAAAAATTTGAAAAATGGCGAAATGTATGTTTTTGGTCAATTAATGAAAACTAAAATAAAAAATACAGCTGTGATAAAACTACTTAAAAAATATCCATTGACACTTTATCATAATCTTTCCCGTAACAAGAAAAATCGTTTCGTAATTTTAAACTGAGCCAGTTTAAAGAGCGTGAAGAATTAGTTTTGTTTTGACACTCTTGACGTTATATATTTGTCTAATATTAGTTTTCATAAACCGTCCTACGAATTTTTAAAACAGAAGTCATTTTAAGTACCCATGGCCACTCAAAAGATCCCCCCACATAACTAAAATGCGTGTTTAAATTATTATTTGTTCAGTAACTTTATTTTTCTTGAAAATAATTTTATTTCAATCAACGCAAGGGTGTTCGAATTTTGAAATCACGCAATAGCTGCAAGAGTAACCATATTAATTTGAATAGTGGTTTTAAGAATATCCGTGAGAAAAAATACCTAATATGGCCTATTTACTGCATTATCCTGTCACTCAACTCCACAGCAACATAATGTCCAACTTGGCCTTTAAATGTGTATTGAATGGAGACTACCAAATTAATGTTAACAATCTTTCTTTACTGCTGTCGAAATTTATTGATATCTTAAGATTTATCATAAGTTGGGACATTTTGATGTGTAGTCTACATTACGATAAATTTCTATTATTCTCTTTGTATTGTGCAATGTATATTATCATAGTCTTCTCATTATTCAATTTAGCAACAAGTAAAACTAATTTTTATATTTACAAATTTTTAAACAGAGTAGCAGTGTTCTTAAGAATTGTATGGTCACATAAACACTAGTCAACAGTTTTTATGGAGCTGTCTAGCTAGAGTAATATGTTTTAAAATATAAAACACACATACATGTATACTGTATAGTGTGAATGTAAAAATATATAGAGCTATAACAGTAAATTAAATAGAATCTATTACTATAATTTAATTTATGAAATGTATAAATAAGAATAAAGTTTGCTCAGCAGTCCTATCAAAATCTTAACATTTTGAGAAAGCTTTGTGAACGTGTTTTGTTAGCAGAAAGTTTTTCGGTTGTACTGAAATTACCACAGTACAACCGCAATTCCTCAGGTAGTGGAGGTTTGGCAACTTTCAGGGAAAACGGGAATGATAAAATCCCTTATTCTCCTTACCTATCACAATGACGATATGGAAACACGTCATTGCACATTACAGTACTTAGTTAAATTTTCTATATCTCGCTACTTCAGAGCTTATACTAACTTTCAATTTACACAGGGTGTTCAAAAAGGTAGGGACATTATTTACGTCGTGATTCCTTGGGTCAAAATAAGAATAAAATTAAGAATACAACTTGTATCAAAGTCGCTTCGTTTACCAGATGTAGTTGTAAAAGAAGGCAAACCTGACTAGCTTAGGTTATTCAACCTCATTTACGACAAAAAATACGTGATATTTCAGTTATTTTAGCGAATTTCCCTATAGGGAAGTAGCTATTACCGTAGGTCTCATGGTAAGACTTAGGCCCGGGACCGATTTACTTTTTCATTTTGATGTCCCCAGAGGCCAAAAACACCATTCGTTCAAATTTTTATATATGTATATATATATATATATATATATATATATATATAATATGTGTCCGTGAACACGATAACTTGAGTAATTTTTATCCGATTTTGATGAAATTTGGTTTGAAGGTGTAAGGTGGGATAAACTTGAATGAGTTCGCGATCCAGCATGATCGGACCATGGGAGCAGGGTTTTATGGGGGGTTTTATGGGGTAAAAATTGGTTTTTCTCACTTTTGACCCTCAAAACACAAAATTTCCCAATTTATCTCTAAACTTTCTTAAAGAGCTTAAAAAAACAAACAATTCAGTATATCAAAGTGTTTTTGTAGGGTTATTGGTTACGGAGAAAACTAAAAAAATGGTAAATTTAAAATTCCCATGTTATTCTTATGGAGAATATTGTAAAATGTTGTAGTTTGCTTGTTTATGGATATCTTTTGATCAAACTTGGCAAAAATATTCATTTGTACTAAACAATAACTATTTTACTTAAAATACACACTTTATTAGTTTCCTCGTAGCAGCAAACCTAGGTACTCGTTAAACCTAATGTTATTTAAATAGATCAATTGAAAATCAATTCAGCCAAATGGAAATTCGCTTAGACGGCAGGTTTGCTGCAGCGGGGGTATTTTATACGATATATTTGAAGTTAATGTCGTTGGATATGGTACTTTAAAGACTAAATAAAAGTGTTTTTGACATTTTATAATAAAATCAGCCATTTTTTAGTAATTTGAATTTAACAAAGTTAAAATGGCCGCCATTTTTAAATTCTGGATTCGATCAAGATTAAATTTTATTCTCACATGGGTCGCTTCTACCTTACCAAGTTCCATTTAGATTGGTTGGAACAATCCCAAGATGAAAATGTTTATGTACAAAACACAAAATGACGGATATCTGGTTAAAGAAGCGGTTTTGGAATAAGTTGTATTCTTGATTTTCTCTTTATGTTGACCCAAGGAATCAATTATGTCCTTACTTATTTTGTACACTCTGTATAAAGTACCAATAAATCAAGTAATTTAGTTTATTAATAAAGGCAGAAATAATTTTGTTCTTACAATACAAAAGTATGAACTTAAACTATTTTACTCTAGAACACAAACCTGTATTAAAATGGCGCTTCAATTATCGTAGGCATTCAAATACTGTAGATGTATAATACTTTGTATGCCTTAAAATATATTTTAAATAACACATTATTCGTACATTATACTCCTAAAACTAGGCCCTACTGTAAGACAAATAATTTGAGCTAGATAGAAATATCTTTTTAAAAACTTGTTTACAATGTATACAAATCAATATAACATAGGCCTATAATTCGAAGTTTTAGGGTGGTAATATTTAAGCCGGTTTCTTGATCTATAACATTTTATTTACTTAAACTTTGTATTATACGAAAGCTCTTACCCCGTCGTGGTGTTAAGGAAAACGATTAACTGATATTTTATGATTTGAATTCAAAGTTCCCTCATATTTACTAAATTGTAGCCTTAAAATATATGGTGGAGGTATGCATCGTAGAACTTACACAATAACTTACAAACGTAGAACTTACAACAATATAATGTAATACAAAATACAATAGGATACACGTTTTGATGTATGAATAACATTTCAATTGATGTTTAAAGTACAAATAGTATAAGTAATGTGCATTTTATTGACAGCTCTAATAGTCACATAAACACCCATAAAAGTAAAAAAAAAAAACTCCTAAAGTATGAATACGAAATTGTAAAATAAAACAGTTTTTCAATCTTTGTATCTACTTAGAAATAAATGCTAAGATGTCAACTCAATGTCAAAAAAATGGGGGAAATGGGAATTATCAGTTTCCCGGTTCTCCCTGTCTGGGGCCGTTTCAGTATGGATTATGATTAAAAAACGTCGTAGCGATTTCGGTGTCCCCAATTTATCACTATGTTCTGTTTCACGTTTTAGAGGATAGTAAGTGATTAACCGATATGCAGAGGGTCTCCCGAAATAAACAACCAAACTCCGGGAAATGGTTCTATGGGTCAAAACTAACAAAAACAAGAATAAATATTTTTACAAAATCGCTTCGTTAATCAGATACTTACAATGTTGTATTTTTTACATACATTTTTATCTTAAGTTCGCTCAAACCAATCTTTATGAATTTGGTATATATATATATATATATATATATATATATATATATATATATATATATATATATATATATATATATATTAAGATAAAAGGGACCTATGATAGAAAAACTAACTCGGTCTAATTGAAAATTGAGGCCATTTTAATTATTGTAATTTTAATACAAAAAATGGCTTTTTTTACATTTCAGAAATAGTTCTATTTAAGATTCATTAAATGACACTAGGTTCAAAAATATTGAATAAAAAATTGCTGAAATATGAGGAATTTTAGTTTTGAAACAAGGTAAAATGAGGCACAATTTGACTAGCTTAGCTATTCTACCTCATTTTACTACTAAAAAACGTGATAATCTATTCGATCTTTTTGAA